AGGAGAAAAAAAACTTTATTTACAAACAAATTGATTTAATAGAGCAAATGAAAAACCATTAAATTCATTTTCTTAACATAATGTAGTTGATGAGCCATAGATTCTACAATAATAAAATAATAAATTACTCACAATATTGATTAGTACAAATCTCAGTATTATCTAATAAAGTATATTTCTACCAACTAAATATAAAAGCTCCAACTGATGAAGCATTATATATATTAATTACTTATTCACCATAGATCTCTGAAGTAATTTGGCTACATCTAAATAATTATTAACAATTATTTTCTTTATCTAAATAACAGCCTTAAAGTGATAAAACTGTTTAGGAGTATAATCATTACATGTCTTGATTTTGCATGCCCCATATAAAATTATACAATTAGAATTAGAACAACCTGAATATGGACAATAAATTTTATAATTATTAGATGTTATACAGAGATCTCCTGCCTAAATACGTGGTAAAGAATTAGTGTAGAGGGTTGAACAAGAGTGTTATGGATCAATGATGTCTTCACATGCAATAGTTGATTAACAACGATTCTATTAATTCAAATAACAAGTTTTATTATCCATAATTAAATTACAAAAATCATCTTCATTTAGATGAAAAAATAATTTCTTAATACTCTTATTAATATCAAGATCGAATTAAATTTACTATTAGATCTGCATTAAGAAATATTAGAGATTTAACAAAATATGAATATTCTAATCTTATTCTTTATTCCACATACAAAATGTTTTAATTTCACAAGCATCCTTATTGATACCTGAAATATTACAATAATTTTCATTTATTAATGGAGTTTAACATTTAAAATTGAAAAAGAATCATAAGAACATTAGTAATTGTAGAGTAACGCACAAGTTTTAGAATTGACATGATTAATAAACATACGAATTGATGATGATTCTGTAAATACAAAACATTTATTATGTTTAAAAATACCTCGTTCTTATTAGAATTATACACAACTAAATAAATTTAATCCTTCAGTTTTAAATACAATTACCATTTTATTGAAAACTCTTTAATTAATAAGTAATTTTATCATAACTGCCTGCTGTATTTATTACATATTTACAATACAAGAATTAAATTCATAAATACAATTTACACTATATTATATATAAGCATTTCTATTAACATTTTCCATTACACCTAATGTAGAATCCCACTATAAAATATTTTAATCTTTTCAGATACAATATTAATTCTTATTTGATA